TTGGTCCAGACTTGATTATTTACAGACCACCGTCATATAGGTGGAATATTGCTGATTGCGGCGTAAAACTGAACTCACTCACTTATCCTGTGGGGTACGGTACAGTGGGGTAGCCTTGTGGAAAAAGCATTCTCTTGTCAAGATCCTGATTTGATTCCCCAGATGGGTACAATTTGTGAAGCCCATTTCTGGTGTCCCCGGCCATCATATTGCTAGAATATTGCTAAAAGTGGCATGAAACCAAACTCACTGCCGGGTACCCATTCGTTGCTGGGTGAACTGGTTTGTTTCAAAAGAGCCACTTGGCAAACGAAACACCACTTGAAATATGACCTCTGACAGACAAAATCCTCATAATAAACCAAATTGTCTCCTTGAAGCAGTGTATGAAATAAGGCCCATCCAATGGTCTGGTAAAAAGTTTTGATGTTTCATACATCTGAGTAAATTCACTATGTTTTGGTGTCTGGTCTGGTTAAATCAATTTTGGGCAGGTAACATTTAGGAGAATTCATTTGGAACCACGGCATCAGCCGGAGGTTTCAAATGAAATATTCCCGTGCTTCAAATACTCAATAACACCCCGAAATTGGCCAACACATGATGTTTATCGACATTGTAAACACAAAAGTAAACCAAAAGGTCTACACACGTTTTTGTGTCTGCACTCGAGTACGGGTACAGCAGTGAAACGTCATCAGCCGGCTGTTTCGGCTGTCTCCCATGGTAGCATCTGGAACTGGCCATTTGTGACGTCATTCGGACTTTACCTCACAATATGATTTTAATGACGTCATCACAGCTGACGACGTAACAATACAATGGTGTGAGCGATGTTTGTATGTATTAATACGCTGCGAATTTCCGGGAATCGAATACCATTTGATCACGTTTTTTCAACCAATCAGATTAAAGAACACAGTGACTTTTGGTTTACAATTTGAAATTACCGGTACCAGCCCTAATGCTTGGCTGGGTTTTTGCTTTATTTCATACACTGCTTGAAGTACCAGTCAGTCTAGACAATAAATCTACAGAAACAAAGTAATAAAAAAAATAGCTTTTTCTCCTTTATTTACCCAGCTGCCTTGCCTTTGATTAGAAAAATATACAGCACTTCTAGTGGTGCCCCAAGACCTAATTGTGTCTGTAATCATATCAAACATCTTATATAGATTTTGATTTATATTACTTTGTTATTAAAACAAGTTAAAGCACTCCCCAAATGTATTTGAATTTCAAACCACCAGAGCCAATTAACTACAATTCCATGAACCATGCAACAGGATGCCCTTATAAAGAATTATCATTTAAATTACAGGTGTTCAAGTTTAATAAAAAACCTGAACATTTTCAGACAAAATCACAGGTATCGTATTCCTGTCCTAAAGCTTGAATATTGCTAAGTGCAGACAAAACTACAACTAACAGTTAGCTTCAAGTTGCAGTAGCTAAAATATTGTGCAATAAAGTTCCTGACAAGTATCTCTCAGCTTGAAGCTATTGACAATAAACGCCAGGGCTTGATGTTTATAGGGAATATATACTAATATATGTCTAGTAAAATATATAGTGTACTGGCCAAGATGGAATAACATTGTGAGTTAAGGTGTGTAGTAGCAGATACATTTGTCAGATGTGGGATTATTTGTTCAGTGTTTATTTATCATGTTTATTTGATTAAAAGAATTTACCAGGCAAACTGATGATGATTTGGAAATTTTAATGTGCGCTTTCTGACATAATGCATGTTTCACACACTGTTCCACTGTTGTCCATAGATACAGTGGACGATTGCTAATGATCTAGTTCAATTCATGGATGATTCTAGATGTGTCTATATAAGGATTTATCATCCAAAACTGTGTTCCACAGGAGATATCGCTTGTGTGAGATCAAACGATATCTCCTAGGAGATATCGTTTTGACAGTAGATTTTGTACAATGCCCTGACAATGCTATGACGTCATGTACTTGATGACGTCACAATGCTATGACATCGCTTCACTGCAAGTCTAATGGCAGTACCATGTTCAGAGATGTACATTTTTCATTGAAAATTAATGAAGAGTGATTTTGGATGATAAATAGAATCTCACCCTCGTGTCTTCTGATATCATATATATCAACACTCGTTGATAAAAGTAAAAATATCCTCGGCAAGCCTCAGATATTTGTAACTTTATTAACTCGTGTTGATATAATTGATATCAGAAGACACTTGGGTGAGATTCTCTATGTATCAGCTTAATCTTCAACTTACTTGCAGCAAGTGGCAAGACAAATTTAATAAGGGCTCCAGATAAGGGCTGTATCGACGTATGCACGGATAAAAAAATGTGCACGATACAGTAGGAAATAATTTAGAAAACATAGCACATACGCACCACAGCAATGGTGTACGGTCTTAGAATCATTTACAGACGTATTTATCTGAAAATGTATTGTTTTATTGTTTATTGACCTGTTTACACAAGAGTAGCAATGTTGTGGTGCATATATGAAACGAAACACAAGATTACTGATACTCCAATAAATTCCATTCAGTACTTTAAATGTACTCTTAAGGTTTTCAAGTACTCCTGTGTTAACAAAATCTTGAAAAATTATCTGGAGCCCTTTTTTAATCTAATCAAAATTTAATCCTAGGAAAAATCCCTCCAGTCAGTCAGTGAGGGCAAACTGTGTGGTGGGGTAGCCTAGTGGTTACAGCATTCACTTGTCATGACAAAGACCAGGTTTGATTCCCCAATTGTGTAAAATGTGTGAAGCAAATTTCAGGTGTACCTCACCATGATATTGCAGGAATATTGCTAAAAGCTGCGTTAAACCGTACTCAATGCATTCGCTTATCATTCCTGTGTTTAATCCCCAACCTGGGTGCAAAAAGCAAGGGCAGTTGATTGTTTCCTGAGAATCAGTTCTAAACACACCGCACGCCGAAGATCCGGGTTCGACTCCCCACATGGGCACAATGTGTGAATCCCATTTCTGGTGTCCCCTGCCGTGATATTGCTTGAATATTGCTAAAAGCGGCGAAAGTCACTCACTCACTTTAAACACACCTGTAATAGTAAGCATGGTAAGTGCATGTTTCCAGACTGTTTAGTAAAGTGTATTCGACGAGTCCCTGTCTCCTTGTGCACGATGTCATATGGTTAAAGACAGGTTTCTATGTTTTGTTGTCATAATAGTAGTTGTATGGAAAATAGGAGAGTAGGTGTCTGAAGAGTTTTTGCAGACAGAAGCAGTCAGGCCATTACAGTCTGAATGTTAATTCATGTGCTTTCCACTTCGAGCTCTGTATATCCCCAAATAACTCACTGGAGATGTTTGTGATCAGAAATAAGTTAGGATTCTTGTTCATCTGAGTTCAGTTTTTTTTTCTGAGTTCCTTTGAACAAGGTATTGAGTATAGTTCTTTGTGTTAAATATAATAAATGAGATTGTCTGGATTAAAAAATATAGTGTATTTGATAATGCTATTAATACCAGCTCAGTGACGTGGGTAATGGAGACTTATTGACCTAGAGGGTCTTTATGATGTTTGAAGGTCCTGGCCAAGTCCCAGTTCCACAAAACAATCGTAGTGCTGAAGTGATCGTAACCCCCATATAGGGCTGGGACGATTCACCGATACATCATGATACATTTAAGTTTGATACAGCTATCGTATTGTCGACTGGTGTATCGAAACAAAACGATACATGACTTTTTTCAAAACAGTATTATCTTAAACATGTTAAAGTACTTATTTAGAGAAAAGTATGCAAGTATGATAGTTCCTGGTTGGTTTATTACAGTAATGTTATCGTTATACACAAATTCCTTGAAATAAATCATTTTTAATCTTAATACTGTGTCATTCTTTCAAGGTGTATGTATATTGATACGTATCATATCGCAGGTAAAATATCGCGATACGTATCGTATCGTGACATAGTGTATCGTCCCAGCCCTACTCCTTTACTTTAACATAGACTTACCACTGTCGTAGTGCTACAATCGCTTTGAGGAACGGGGGCCCAGGTCTTAATATATGGAACTTGGAGTGAGTAGGTTTTATGACGCCTTTAGCAATATTCCAGCAATATCACAGTCGTAGACACCAGAATTGAGTTTCACTCATTGTACCCACATGGAGAATCGAACACAGGGTCTTTGACATGATGCGCAAACACTTTAACCACAAGGCTACCCGATTAGAGCTTAAGAACACAGACTGACAACATTTATAAAATGGAGGATCAATAAATCAGACCCATTTTCAATCTTAAGCATTAGCAGCTATGTGTGTTATCTTAGTAATATCGAGAGTAACTTTAACTTAAATTGAACAGCCTATCCAGATGGTATACATGTGTGAAGTACAAAAAGAGTTCGAAAGACAAGTGTTCTCTGTAGGAAGCGAGTCAAAGAACATCTGAAGGAGAACTCCCCAAGGAGTATACAACCCAAGCAGTCTGTTAGCAGATTTGCATATCAGAGCTACAGATAACTTTTTGGGTCATTGAGTTATGTACTCTCTTGTGTTCGTCTCAATTGGGTATCCTAATTTTCCTTTGAGTAACGAAATAAATTGTACTCACCTCACTCAAACTCAATTGGGTATTTGGCCATTTTCCATTAATTTTAAAAATATAATAAAGTTTAAATGTTAGTGTTTGTGATTTACATTTGATTTGTAATATGAGAAACGATAAGAAAGACTGCAAGTTGTCAAGTTCACATCCTGAAATAGAACCTCTCAATATACTTCAGCTATTTTATCTATCTACCGGTACGCAAGCTAACATTTGACATTTTTGTATGTACACATGTAGGATCACATTTATTGAGTATTTATCGAAACTCAAGCGTACTTGTACGCAATAGACTTAATAGGAATTGAGTTTTCACATAAATATTTGAGTAATTTACGCAGATACAGCTTATCTGTACCTCTGCATATTTATTCTGAAAGCTGACATGGATCATTATTTTATTTTGTTTGTTTCCAGATGCAAGCAATGACAGAGTTCCAGGTGGTTGAAGTGTAATCCTGTCAGTTTGGTAAGTTTGGTCAGTTTGCTTTCTTCATTTTGCTTAGGAAACACATTCCGTGTGCAATGTTGTTCTAATGTATCATTTATGCTGAAGACAGAGGTAGACTTGCTACCCAGTAACAATAACTGTTAGGGCTGGGATGATTCACCGATGCATCGATACATCACAATACATTTAAGTTTGATACAGCTATTGTACCATCGACTGGTGTATCGATACAAACGATACATGACTTGTTTTCAAAACAGTATTATCTTAAACATGTTAAAGTACTTATTTAGATAAAAATATGCAAGTATGATAGAGCTACTTGTTTGTTTATAACAGTAGTGTTATTGTTATACACAAATACCTTGAAATACATCATTTTAAATCTTAATGCTGTCATTCTTTCAAGGTGTATGTATCGTGATATGTATCGTATCGCAGGTAAAATATCGCGATACGTATCGTATCATGACATAGTGTATCTTCCCAGCCCTAATAACTGTTAGCTGGGGTGGAGTAGCCAGGTGGTTAAAACATTCACCTGTCTCACCAAAGACCTGGGTTTGATTCCCCATGGTGCAATGTGTAACAGTAAAGCCCATTTCTGGTGTCCCTCGCAATGAGGTTGTTGGAATGTTTCTTAAAGTAGCATAAAATCATACTCACTCACTTCGCTGGTGAACTGAAATGACAGTGAAAGCGTGACTTGACTCATTGGATCCTGGTTGTAAGGATATATGCTCATGCTTTCACTCACAGGTTTGGGTGGCTCTGTATTTACAGTCCATAAGGATATGGCCAGAATATTGTACTCACTCGCTAACTAAGAAAGTCAACTGTCATTTTCATTTTGAAATCTCGTATTCTGTTGAATGGAACAATAGCTCCATCATAACAGATCCAACATGAGAACAGCCTTCCTGACTTGGAGGGACGGCAAGGTAGCCTAGTGGTTAAAGTGTTCACTCATCATGCAGAGGACAGTTCGATTCCCCACATGAGTACAGTGCGTGAAGCCCATTTCTGGCATATATTGCTTGAATATTGCTAAAAGCGGCATTAAAATAAACTTAATGACCTGGACTTCAGTGAATTAATGGCCACAAGGCAACTGTCTGCGTATCACATAGAAAATATTTATTATTCATTAACAATAGGTATTGATGACCAGTAACAATTTAGTCAGTTTCCTCCCTTTTAGTGAAGCATGGTTACGTGTTCATTGTGTTTCCCTAACCACTACTGTTACCATAGGCAAGTAAGCATTTTGCTGGTGAAACAAATCTCAAGCCCCCAATTTATTTTTAAAATAATTACAAATTTTACTCTTGGAAGGGAGAATGCATTGCATAAATTCAATGTCAACCCAGTATTTTCAGTCATTTACTTCAAATGGGCTTATGTGAGTCATGCATTTTATCAGCTCCTAAATATCACAAATGGCTCCCGAAATTGTCGAGCTCCTATCGCAGTTAACTAAGAAGCTGGGGTAATGTGGCATTATGGGGCTTCATCTGACAAGGGACTCCTTGCTAACTTATAGCCAGGCTTTAAGTAATAGGAATGTTCCACTCGCACTGCCATATCTGCCACAGGGGACACGTGATTCCGTACACTCTGCAAGGGCGGGGTGGTCTCCCTTTGTATATTAATCTATGCTGCTCAAAACACTTTAAGGAACACCTTCAATTGGAAGACTGCTGTATTTGCAAGCCACAACCTATAGTCTTAAGAGAAAATTGGATTTAATTTTGAGTTGTATAAAAAAGTTGTTTGGGATATTTAGAACGAATCAGGATTGATTATTGCTTTGCAATTATTGTCCTGATTTTAGGGGCGGTTGGGTAGTCTAGTGGTTAAAGCGTTGGCTGGTCAAGCCGAAGATCCGGGTTCAAATCCCCACATGGGTACAATGAGTGAAGCCGATTTCTGGTGTCAACCGCCGTGATATTGCTGGAATATTGCTAAAAGCGGCGTAAAACCAAACTCAGTCAGTCAGTCAGTCCTGATTTTAATAAGATTTAATGCAGTTCAAAGTACACACAGGATACACAAAGTCTGTGGTCTAGACTACCAGTTGTCCATTTTTTGTGGAAGATGCGGTGGCTGAGTGGGATGGATGGCAGGCTTTGTGTGCTGGCAGTGCCTGACTCAGAGAGTGGGTTCAAATCCCAGATGGGTCTCAGAGAGTGGGTTCAAATCCCAGATGGGACTCAACCCAAAAGTACAAGAATCTGTACTTAAATGAGAAAGTGTAAACCCAAATATAATGTGTTACATTCAAAGCATTCTTAACCAGTAACCTCCACGTAAAGAAACGTTTAATTTTCCAGTGATATTTTGTGAAACTACAAAGATTTACACTCCAAGAAGAGCAGAGACATCTGCTGGACCCACTGACTTCTCTGCTATTATTTCACCTCCCTAAATGAATCTCATAATTGGAAAACAATTTGTCAGAGGTTCATGATTTAAATAATTTATTGGGATTAATTCAGTGACTTGAAGCTGAAATTAGCCAATTGTCAGTCAGCTGATTAGAGCAGCACAGGACCCCCGTTGGGAGTGAGGGTTACAATAGGTCTGCAGCAGAGTATGCTAGCCGAACGAGGGGACTTAATGGATTGGGATGGTCATGCTCCGTGACCTGGTTGATTGGCGCCATTCTACCCTGGTTGTGTGGATCAGTGGTCAAAATATTATTCAAAATGTTCAATGGACGTATCGACCACCTAATTTAATGGTTATTATATTGATCACTTGATTCAATGATTACAATTTTAATAACTAGATTCAGTGGTTATGATATTAATCACTGGATTCAGTGGTTATAATATTGATCACTTGATTCAATGGTTATAATATTGGTAACTGGATTCAATGATTATAATATTGATCCACCCGTGAAGATCCAGGATAGAATTGGTCTTCAGCAACCCATGCTTGCCACAAAAGGCGACTATGCTTGTCGTAAGAGGCGACTAACGGGATCGGGTGGTCAGGCTCGCTGACTTGGTTGACACATGTCATCGGTTCCCAATTGTGCAGATGGATGCTCATGTTGTTGATCATTGGATTGTCTGGTCCAGACTTGATTGTTTACAGACCGCCGCCATATAGCTGGCATATTGCTGAGTGCGGTGAAAACTAAACTCACTCACTCACTCACTCACTATAATATTGATCACTGATTCAATGATCATATCACTCACATGATTTAATGGTCATAATATCAAACACTTGATTTAATTGTCATATTAACAATTGCTCGAATCAATTGTTATAATATTGATCACTAGATTCAATGATCACTGGATCATTGATCATCGCTGACCTCTGGATTCATTGGTCATAATATCGATGACAGAGTTTTATGTTGTCCAATCAAAACTATTTATTGGCTGCCATCTTAAAACTGAAATATTTATTAAAACTGGTTTTATCAGAATTACAGTTTTCAATTTGTACCAAGATATTTCTTAAAAGATGACAACACGTTCACTCTTTTAGTCAATTTCTATTTGTGTTAGAGAGGGCATTTAGTAGTTGGCACCAAATAGTGTATATTGGGTTAAGAACATAAAGACTAGTAGCCCTAATGTGTTTAACCTCTCTCGGAAGTGTGATGTAGATGTAAGAAATGGCATTAGCAAGTACGTGGAACATATACGAAGACAAGTGTTGCACGAGGTGGGATTCTGGTATGTACGATGGCGTTATCAAGACTTGGTCCATACGGAATGGGGGATGCTTGACACGTGGTGGCTGTTTTCACATTCTACTCACAACGTCACTGGTATCCTGTAATCAAATTATGCTGTCAAGTAATTTATAAAGTGTGACAATACAGGAACACCTTTTGTCTATTCTTGTTCATGGTGAGAAGACAATTCTCAGTACCAGAGGGGGCGTACAACAATCTGTGCTTTTGTTATCGGCAACTTAGCTTTTATCAAGATTAATAATTGGATTCTTGCCTTATACTCACAGTGTAATAACATAAAACCAATATTCGATACATGAATAATATATGACAGTGGGTAGAAGGGTGTAAAGTTCAATGTTCTACCAATATTATTATTAATATTCTTACTTCCTTATGTAAAACATTCAATTTTTTATTACATATGAGCCATTAAGAAAACTTAAGATAACTGCCTGCCAGTCGTTATTTTGTAATAAAAAAATTCAGAACCACACAAAGAATAATCTAATTATTTTTATAACCTGAAAATTTGAATTTGGCATTAATTTATTTCTATATTACTGTTGACACGACCCCTGTTCGTGAGAGGTGCCTCCTTGACCATGGTGTGGTGTGGCTACTCAAGTCATTATACTGACAGCTGATTGGCTGATCAATGTTGCAGGCAGCCATCTTAACAGAGAGGCACTTTGTGCTGGGTTAGTCAGACTTAGAATATCCCGTAGGGAATTTAATTCCAAATTCTATGCTCAGCAAGACACCATTCTCCAGATCTGTCAAACAAACCTAAAACTGTAGAGGTAATTATATTTGTTGTGACAGCACCGAGTGACCTTTACTGCAGTACCCATTTACCCTGAGTACAAAGTTTACCTGAAGCTTTTTAAAACCACCTTTACATTCCTGAATCAATTTGACAAATAAAATGTTTTGGGGTAAGACTTAAAAATGCCCAAGGGGAAAAAAGAATTAAATTTTTTAAATTTCTCATTTTGGCATCTAAAAATGGATTTTGTTTACAGGGGTGCATTTTAGGCATATCAAAGTATTTTGTCAGATTGATATCAGTTTAGGAACAAAAGTGATCTTGGTTATTTTTGCAATAACATTTCACATTTTGAATTGATTGCTAAAAGCGGCATAAAATCATACTCACTCACTCATTTTGAACTGAAGGTTTTCATTAGAAATCTAATGAACATATTTTACAGAAAAAATCTGTTTCTAAAATATGCTTATAGAATACAATAAAAAGGAGCCCAGAGACTTTCTTTCTTTCCAGAAACTTTGGTAATCTATATTTGCAGGGTGT